CGCGAATACATTTTCTTCCTCAGCTTGCCTAACTCAAGGAAAGGGTTTCCAAACTGGAACACAGCTTTCTAGTCTGCATTCTGTGGAGCAGGCATACCAACATTCGTTTACCTGAGAGGGTAAAAGGTGTTCTTCATTGCATGTGTTTTGCCTATTCACACGTTTGCTTCACTATTTCATTAAGTCCCAAACAGCCCTTCAAATTATTTTGGCGCAGAGGGGCTACAGCTACATCTAAGCTGTTTTTGCTTCTGTCTTCTCCCAGTAATCCTATTGTGCTTCTGTATCCATGATTCAAAAAAACCAAGAAATCCCCTGATATTGATGAACAATATTGTTGCCAGCAGGAAAAAGGATGCCACACTTTTCATAGCAAAGGGCAGCCTGAAATGCTGACAACACCAGTGATAGTAGTCAAGGTGGTCTACAGGAGCTCTGATGATAGATTTGGGATGGTAAAAAGTGGCCCCATCACCTCCTGGCAAATAGAAGGGGAAGACATGGAGGCAGTGACAGATTTTACTTTCTTGGGCTCCATGATCACTGCAGATGGTGACAGCAGCCACGAAATTAAAAGACACCTGCTTCTTGGGGGGAAAGCAATAACGAACCTAGACAGCATCTTAAAAAGCAGAAACATCACCTTGCCGATAAAGGTCAGCACAGTCAAAGCTATGGTTTTTCCAGTAGCGATGTATGGAAGTGAGAGCTGGACTATAAAGAAGGCTGACTGCCAAAGAATTGATGCTTTTGAATCGTGGTGTTGGAGGAGACTCTTGAGAGTCCCCTGGACTGCAAAGAGAACAAACCTATCCATTTTGAAGGAAATCAACCCTGAGTGCTCCCTGGAAGGACAGATCCTGAAGCTGAGGCTCCAGCACTTTGACCATCTCATGAGAAGAGAAGACTCCCTGGAAAAGACCCTGATGTTGGGAAAGTGTGAAGGCAAGGGGAGAAAGGGACGACAGAGGACAAGATGGTTGGACAGTGTCATCAAAGCTACCAACATGAATTTGACCCAACTCCGGGAGGCAGTGGAAGACAGGAGGGCCTGGCGTGCTCTGGTCCATGGGGTCACGAAGAATCAGACGCAACTTAATGACTAAACAACAAGAAAAAGTGGTTAACTGATGAAAAAAGGAGTAAGTTCTAGGATTTTCCTTTGTGTGTCAGTTTGTGAATGGTAGTGATAATGTTGTATTGTTGCCAGAAAATAAGAGTGAATTAATCAGTCCCCACAATGCACCAGAAAGTGGGGCAAATGCCCATCTGAACGAACCTCACTCTCAATACCTAAAACTGCAAGACACACAAGATGGTTGCGTGCTGACACAACAAGGAAGAACTCTGCCACAATTGCATCAGGATCGTGTGATTCATCAAGATCGTCAGCACTGGAACAAGTGTACCACCCTGAGATTATGTACCTTGTTGAGATACTACTAGACAAAGACTGAAAGAATTACTGTTTCCCCATCAAAACACATATTTGTTGTTAGCTGATTTTAAAAAAATCAAACAAAACCAAAGCAAACAAGAACAGCAATAATACATTCCCAATTCCAGATAGGTGAGATTACAACATTAACAAGAGAAACCGGAAACCTGTGAAATACTCAAGTTGTTTGAGTGTTTGTCCTGTGTTTATGGAAAAGTTTCCATTTCTGCAGCCTGATAGTATGGACAGGATCCTTGGAGCAGTGAAAGCTACCACTTGTCTCCTGGACCGTTGCCCATCGTGGCTTATAAAAGCTGCAAGAGAGGGACAGGCTGAGTGGGTTCAAGGGGTAATGAATCCCTCCTTGCAGCAGGATAGGATCCCAGCTTGCTTCAAGAAGGCAGTAGTAAGACCACTATTTTTTTTCAAAGGAAAAAACTCCCTGGACCCCACAGTACTGGATAATTACCAGCTCATCTCTAATTCTGGGACAAGGAGCAGGTTGCGGCTTCTTAGCTCCAGAGGTGGAGCTTCTGGGTGAAATGGATTATCTAGATCCATTTCAATCTGGCTTTGGGTCTGGTTATGGGACGTAGACTAATTTGGTCGCCTTGATTGGATGACCTACGCTGGGAACTGGACAGGGGGAGTGTGTCCCTGTTTGTTCCGCTACCCTCTCAGCAGCTTTCAATAACATAAGCTATGGTATCCTTCTGGGCCATCTCTCTGGGATGGGACTGGGAGGCCCTGTTTTGCAAAGGACCCAGTCCTTCCTGGAGGTGAGAACCCAAAGGGTGGTGCTGGGGGACTCCTGTTTGACACCCTGGCCACTGGCCCTGTTTAAGATGAAACCGCTAGGAGAGGTTGTCCAGAATTTTGGGGTTTGGTGTTACTATTATGTGGATGACACCCAACTCTATCTCTCTATTCCATCTAAATCCAAGGAAGCTCTTTAGGTTCTAAGTCAGTGTCTGGTGTAATGGCCTGGATGAGGGCAAATAATCGGAAACTTAATTCAGACGAGACAGAGGTGCTCCTGGTCAGTCGAAAGGCAGAGCAAGGAAAAGGTATGTAGCCTGTGCTGGATGGGGTTCCACTCCCTCTGAAAACACAAGTGAGCAGCTTGGGGCGCTCCTGGATTTGTCTGTAAACCTGGATGTCCAGGTTTCGATGGTGGTCAGGAGCACTTTTGCCAAGGTAAAACTAGAGCGCCAGGTGCACCCATTTCTTGAGATGGGTGATCTGGTCATGGTGACACATGGCCTAGTTACATCTCAAATGGATGACTGTAACGCGCTCTGTGTGGGGTTGCCTTTGGAAAGTGTTCGGAAACACTTTCCAAAGGGTCCAAAATGCAGCAGCCAGATTGTTAACTGGGGCTGATTACATGGAAGACGGAACATCCCTGTTACACCAGCTCCACTGGCTGCCGATTCGTTTCAGGGCACAATTCAAAGGGCTGGTTTTAACCTATAAAGCTTGAATCCAAGCTATCTAAAAGACCACAGCTCCCTCTATGAGCCTGCATGGGCATTAAGATCATCAAGGGAGGCGTTGCCCTTGGTCCAATCACCCTCGCAGGTGTGTTGGTGGGGGACACTGCTGCTGCTCCCAGACTCTGGAACTCCCTCCCACTGGAGGCTAGGCTTGCCCCATCATTGTTGTTGTTCTGCAAGTAGGCAGATACCTTTCTCTTCAGGTCCGGCTTTTCCTTATTGACTGGCAGTCTGACAGGGGTTTTGTGCTCTGCTGCTTTTAAACGTGTTTTGATTTGATTTACCATTTTTAATATGGTACTTGTTTATTTCTTTTTAAATATTTGTACACCTGCTGTTTTTAGCTTTGTATATTGCCTTTTTAATGATGTGAGGTTCCTTGGGTCATTTTGAGAAGAAAGGTGAAGTAAATATATTTTAAATAAATAGATTTAGCAATGGAGTTTGGTGGGAGAGGCCCCTAACAATATATTTGTTTCTGTATATAGTTATATATTGGGGTGACTTTTACCCGTACTCTTCAAGGGAGACAAGATAAATCAAAGGACACTTAATTTCAAATAGAGGAAACGAAAAAGTAATGGGAATCTAAGGTGGTGACTTGCTATTGAAGTGCAAGATCCTCATGTCCACCGGGTCCCTTCTAAGACAAGGAGGAGACAGCAGAGAAATAATGTGTGTTAATACAGAGAATATTATCAGTTATCTTTCAGTACATGGCTTAAAAGGTAAACACTGATAAAAAATTAAGAGAAACTGAATATATTTAAAAAGAGAATGTTTCAAATTTAGTAAGAAAAATTCAAGAAGGTTGGTCAGAGCCACCCAATTTTAAAAAAAGCTAAAATATAATGGGGTGGTTAGAGATGAAAGTGGGAAAAGACGTAGTATAATGAAGGAGAAATTTAATGCATTTTAAAAAACCATTTAAGAGCTGTATACGGGGAGCAATAACCCCAGGGATAAAGAAAAGGTACAGTATATATATAAAGAAAAATTCTGGGAATGAAGTTCAAGAGGTTCGTAGAAAACAGGTAGAACAATATGTTAAAGAAAAAGAGATTGACAATAATATAAATCATTTAAAAGTTGAGAAAATTCTGGAGATGGATGAATTAAGTGCAGAGTGTTATAAAGTATTTAAAAAGATTTTAATACTAAAGCGTTTAGCATTTAATAAAATATAATGGAGAAGAAATTCCACCATCCTGGAAGCATTCCTTCGTTGTATTAATTCTAAAGCCTAATAAGGATTCTTCAGATTTAGGTGCATATAGGCTTTCCTTTCCTTTTCCCTTTTCTTTTCCCTTTCCTTTTCCCTTTCCCTTTCCTTTTCCCTTCCTTCCTTCCTTCCTTCCTTCCTTCCTTCCTTCCTTCCTTCCTTCCTCCCTCCCTCCCTCCCCCCCCCCCCTCTCTCTCTCTCTCTCTCTCTCTCTCTCTCTCTCTCTCTCTCTTTCTTTCTTTCTTTCTTTCTTTCCTTCTTTCTTTCGAAAGAAAGTCTCCAGAACTGGAGCTAGAGTCCCAGAGGCAGTTCGTGTCGTTCTGCCAACTCCTGCGATGTCGCTGGAACTAGTTGTATTGGCTCTTGCCTTTCCATTGGACTATTTCAGCGACGTGGAGGGGGGATTTGCTGCTTGGGACACTCCTCGATTCAGAGCATGTTACCATAGTCTCTCAAGACTGAA